GCGCGCGTATTTGCGATAAAAAAAAAGAAATGCATAATTTATGAACGTTTCTTTGCGACGGAATCGCAATCCGAATAATTACGCGTGTAACGCGTGTGCGCCACTGTAAATGTAGATCAGCGATTAGTTTATCGTAAGACTTATTTGTCGGTGCACATTATCGTTGACGTTTTTTTTATGCGCATATCTAATCACTATTGATTTTTGCAAGAAATGCACGGATAGAGCGAAGGGATCCACATTCACCATGGTCGATCGTGAAACGATACAAAATTGCGAAATTTATCGCACGTCATATAATGAGCTCAAATCATTATTCCGTCGATAAACAAATCGTCGTTAGATATCCAAATATATCCCCTCGTAATGTTAGCTATCTGAAAAAATATTTTAAAACGGAGTAGTATCACATCGGTGCGGAAATAGTTTTGCGTCGTGAAGACATTACTAAAGATATGTATTACTTGAAATATCTGAGAAATATTTAAATAATATTATAAATTATGCCGCATGAACTGAATAATCAGAATAATGTTTATGCAAATGATTGTATTATAATATGCATATATAAGCGCGGTCGCAAAATGATTTCTTTCTTTACCGTATTAATCGCGCTGATGTAACCTCGTCTTAATTATTTTAGCACGTCGAACAATTTCCCGCGCTCGGGATGGACGCGTGCTATTTATTATCTACCGATTATCAGCATTAGTCAGGATAATTCGGACGTGGCAAACGCGATACGCCAAATATTTAGAGCGGTCGAGCGGCGCTTTAATTGCGGTCGCAACTCACTTGCGTCGCGTGTACGCTCATAAAGGAAGAAGCCCTCGGGGTGTTGAACCAGAAACTGCGTCGTACTTGACTAGAACGAGATGTATGTAACACAAATTATACGAACATTAGTTATCCGATCGGGTGGTAATCTTATACGCTCGTGAGTGTTACACTTCGCTCAAGCGTAAAATAATATTTTTTTAACAATCTTGCAAGAAATTGTCTCGTAAAATCTCATATACCTACATTTTTCTTCCCGCCCTAATAGAAATGGGAAAGATAAAAAAATTAACTTACGTGAGTATTTAATTTCCTACGATTAAAGAAACAAATAAAATAATTATTGGGGAACAGGTCTTTTCCCGTTTAATAAATATTTGGATGTTGCGGGAGCGAGAATGGTGAAAAAATACGCGGGCGCGTTGCTAATGGTAGAGATGAAGACGCGTGAGCATCCTGGCCGCGATCCTTTCAAGATCCATCGGTTCCTCGTTTTAATTTTCTTCGCGGCTTGATTTCACCCTCACTGCGATCTCGACACCAATCCGAAGTATCAACCCCCCCCCCCCCAAGAGCGGAGCAGCGGAGGTTTCTGACTGCGACGGGACCCACCCCAACGTGGTCTCTCAAGAAGTGTAAAGTCTCGGCATCCTCGGCTTAAAAAATTGATCCGATATCGCGCCGCAATCCGATATTGGTTCCGCAATCCCATGGGGACTGAAAGGGACAATGCCGCGAGACGAAATACGAAGAAGGGAGGAGGGGTTCGTGTCGACGAGAAAAGGAGAAAGAGTATTATATATAAACGGGATTTTTCTTCGCGTAAACGAGATTTTGTAGTAACTTACGATAATTTACTCCGCGTAAACGAGTGATATATCGTAAGTTACTACAGAAGTAACGCTCGCGTAAACGTAGTAACATATACACACACTATCTGTCACGTACTACGTTTACGCGAGCGTTACTTCTGTAGTAAGGGCCAAAGCTGACGCGAGACACTACCGTGTCTCTTGATTGCACGAACTTTCTCTCGTATGTTTTTATATATTTTACGTATTAAGTGATGTGTCTATGAGTAGCAGCCTATTAGCTGTCACCTATTAATGTCGCGTTTTCTACTTGGAGTTCCGTTGATATTATCGCACGACGGTAATTAACGACTGTTTGGTAATTAATCGTTGTAAATTAAAAATCGCTGCAAAATCATTTGTTGCAAGAATACACCGAATCTTTTCCTTTCGCGCGTTAACGATCTTCTTAAAACATTAGCGCACTTTCATCCGTTTAATCTCCGTTGGAGACGAATAATATTATTTAAGATAAGATAAAAGCACAGCTGCGTGTTAATTTCGCGATCAGTAAATATGTTGTGTTCCAATCGGACCAATGGAAACTTTCATCCCTGGCTACTTTACGCCGTTGTAAATATGTATGTTCCGTGTTGCCTCGTATAAATCGAGATAACAGGCTGCTGTTTTTAATTTGGCCCGAAGAATGCTTTCTCTGACACTTGCGTGACATTGACACGTGGGAGAAGAGCGCGATATTTGATCCCAATCGATCGTAAGAAGAGATCGAGCGCGAACAAAAACAAACTGCTGAGCCATATGATATGGTATAAATAGGATTTATGTAACAGCGCATATGTAATTTCTCGTATACTTAACGAGCGGCAGTTGCAAATAATCTCGTAGCATAAATGTTTTGACTTTGCGTGCGTTTTCTGCGCGACACACTGAAACAGGCATCAGATAAACCGCAGCGCGGTTTTATTAATTTAATTTTTAATTTTTTACGACAATGAAACGCTAATTATTAAATAACAATAAGTGAATTCTAACACTGTATTAAAATTTTATCTGAGAACTTGTATTAAAGGTCGAGGCACACTGTTTAAATATTTAATGTAGGAATAAGAAACGAAACTAAATCAATTTTTACAAAAAAATGTACACAAGAACGAAAGCAAATTTATATTTTTTTGCCAAAAAAAATTGTATCATTTCAAGATGGAAATTATATTCAGAATTGAGAGGTTCTAATAAATCATGAAGAAGCTAAATCAATTTTTACAAAATATATTTTTACGAAAGCGAATAACTTTATCGACTACTTTTCTCGACAAAGAAAATCGCTGCTTGTCATTTCAATATGGAGCCGTTATTGAGAATTGACAGATTCTAGTAAGTCGTGAAAAGCTTAATCGATTTTTACAAAAAGTATTTTTACGGAAAGGATTTTTTATTGACTACTTTTCTTGACAAAAAAAATTGCTGATTGTCATATTTCAACAGGGAACCGTTGTTGAGAATAGGGAGATTCTAATAATTCGTATTTCTTCATATTTCTGGAGTATCAATTCATAATCACTGTCGAAGAGAGTGAGACTCTCAACTTTCGATGTCTGCGGGCGCATCGGCGCCATATGTTAGCGTGTAAAAGCCGTTGGTCTATTCTCGCAAAAATCGACCAATAAAAAGGTAACTCGTCGACCTTCGATATAGTCTACGCTTCGCGGCGACTGGTTCTCCATCTCTCTTCCACTGCTACCAGGTCTCTCTACCTTCTCTCTCTGTCTCTGTCTCTCTCAGCTGATTTTCTTCTCTCTCTTTCTCTCTTTGCGCTCTGTCTACGTATGTGTATGTATGTACGCCGCTCTGCCAACTTTCACGTATCATAATATACAGTAAAAGAATGTGGTTTCCCTTTCAAATTACAAAATATGCCACGAGCGTGCAGTTCAGTACACTTCCTTTTCTTTAATTTCGTTTTTTTTTCTAAATGTTATCTCGATAAGTTTTTAGATTTTTTTTTTCAATCGCCTACTTTTGAAAGTAACGCGCAATTGACAGTAACAATAGATATTTCCAAATCAGATATTAAGTAAATGAAAAAGATTTGAAATAATCAAATATATTAATCCCAAAAATGACAGAAATGTCAGTACTAGCAATGTGAATGGGAGCAAGATATACTTAGATTATATATAGTTTTTACCTCATAATTATAAATATATGATATTATAATGCATTTTAACATATGCTAAAAAAGCAAATATTATTTTTCATATTTTTTGTCTTCCTTCAGAGAGAAAATATGGCCTCCCGTTATCAACCTTTACATTTACATTGGGAGAGCTGTAGTCGATATCCCTATGTCGGCAGAATAAGGAGAGGATAATCGTGTTAACTATGTTGACTATATTTATCAATTTGTGAAGAAAAGATTTCTGCAACTGCATTCTCTTTCAAGAATTCGTTTAAAAATAGATCTCCTTTGTGCTTATACTTTTTCTGGCTACAGTTTTTTTTAAACAGCTTTCTGTGAAGTTTGTTGTAAAAATTTATTTTTATAAAAAATATCGGAATTTCGCGTTTACGTTGTCTCTATCGTTGAGTCTCTGTATTCTTACGTTTCTTTTTTTCAATTTAAAATTCAAACCCTTCTCCAGTATCTTTTTACGCCTTTATTCGATCGAAAGTGTAGTACATCCTGTTGACAAGCGGAACATGGCGATCTAAAGGTTTAGACTGGAAAGGACAGCGCCTGGGACTGAAACCTTGATTGAAATATTACATTGCCACGGCGCGCACAATCGGTGCGTAGTTTTATTATTAAAGAAGGACTTGACCCAGATTTTATCGGTAAGAAAAAAAAAGGATACCTAGACGATCCATCCTGACTGTCTATCTGACGTCTTCGTCAGAGCGACGCGTTATTGCCGCCGGCGACGATTTGTATCATCTTTCATGTTATTAATTTAGACAAGAGGGATGGATTTATGTGGGTTGCGACAAACTGGGTCAGGGACACGGGTTTGCATACGCGTGATGTGCGCGCTAGGCAGGTCATCCGGATTCATATATCCATGCTCGGCGATGAATGATACATGTAATATGCTTTATTTATTACAGATAAACAATCGTTTTCTAGCAAGACCAAATTAATAATTTACACTGCTTAAACATCTTATATGTTTCACAAATACGATCAATTACGTGCGAGTTGCGTTGTGAGCGGTAATTTGTTCATACACAATATAATCGGCGAAGTAAATATGTAAAGTGCATACGCGTGAATTAAAACGCGTATAAACTTCAAGCGACTATTATTATATCTTTTTTTCTCCACTTTCTTGGGTCGTATAATCCTTCGAATACTCGGCAGAGGAAAAGGAGGTAAAATTATTATGTAAATTATTATGTAAAATATATAGAATATCGTGTCTTACAAATTTTAAACGTTTTATTCATAATAAAAACAGTAAAAAAATATTTTTAACCTAATTAGCGAACATTTCGTGATCAACAGGTTCCCTTAGGGGAGTTCCCTCTTTTTTACTGCGACGTACTGCAGCTGCCATTGTGTATGTAGCCACCCTTTAACGTGATCTCATTGTCAGTATACGAGAACGTCTCGGACAGCTGCGAAGCAACGCCACTTGTCCGGTAGGTAAAACGGCTCGAAGACGTGCGGGAAGGGACTGTCCCATCCCGTGACCCTTTGAACCGGCGCTTCCAGGTACAGGAAACACTCCGCCTGCATAATGATTTGACAACGCTCCGTCAGGGCGACTCAGTGACTCACAATTAGTCCGCGATTAGCCCGGATTAGTTTTACAGCCTTTCCGTCGCGCGCGCAACCGACTTTCTAATTTATAAGAACCGATCGGTCGGTATCGATTAATCGCCGGCAACAAATGCGGATTTGAGAAACAAGACCGGCTAATCGGCCACCGTTAAAAACCGGTTTAGAGGACTATTACGCGTGTAACATTACCATCCCGCGCGTCATTCTATAGCTCGGGCGTCGAAGACTTCCGACTTGGGCACCAATTCGCAACGCGCTACATTAGGGTCACGCTAATAAAATCTGGCTGTTAGGTATCTGATTTGCGTTAGGTATAATCTTTCCGTTTGCGCAATCCGAATATTCATTATTGCCGCGAAGAGTCCGAGGGCTCGACGCCGACGGTGTGGACCTTACCTGGACGGTCGCGGCTATTTCCGCCCCAAATCCATTCGTCATCGGCGCTTCGTGGGCGATGATGACGCGTCCGGTTTTCTTCACCGACTGCAACATTCGAATACACGATATCACCGCATATACGGTAATTTATTATCGGTCGCCGGCTGGCGGGTTTAATTCGCGCGTGATTTACGTCTCGTCCCACATTTGCGGTACAATAATAACTTCACATGCACGGCCGATGCGCTAAGCGGGCGCATTAACGACGGCACGATGACGGCACGCGGGCCGTTTTGTAACGGCTATCAAATACGGGTCTACGACGTGATCGACGTTGGAGAAATACACGCCGGGAACGACTGGCGCGATCAGGATATACGTAGGCACACCTGTGCCTCCATGTACGCGTGTATATGTGTGTGTGTCCGTCCTGTTGTAAATCATTGACAAAGGTAGCTAGATAAGCGTGACTGAATACGCTGGATACAGGTTCCTATGACATTTTCGACTCAAACCGTCCTTCCCGGCAACTTTCAGGAGTTACAATCTTTCGTTACGGATACACCCCACAGAAAGCCTACATCTCTATATTTATCGGATTGATATTTATGAGTTTCTGTATGTCCATTATTAACCTTTATTAACGGCCGCTTTGCTGTCACGATAAACGTTTGAATTATTGCCCACCTTCCTCGTAATGTTCGATCCCTTTCAAACGCCTAAGGAGAATTAACAATTAACGTTAATTAACTTCGCGTTTATGTTTAAAGGAATAAAGTCGACAACGCTATTAATTGTATCACTCCCTTTTACTTTTAATTATTTGTAATAGATATTAAGAGAAAAACACTTTTATTATATGTAATCTAGTTTGACGTAATGCATTATGCAATACTATGCGGCTTGTTAAATCTTTTAAAAAAGCTGAGCTTTTTTTCTTGGTTGTTAGTAAGAAAAAGTACCAACTGCTATTGAAGACTAAACATTCTAATTGAAGCGATTTGAATTAATAATTAACCGCGCTAATTCAGTGTTTCATAATTTTTGTGTTCATGAGTTGTCTGTTTTTAACGAACTTAATCGATATATGTTATTCTTCCTGCTTCGTGCAAGCCGGAGGCGGTTTCTCGCCGAAGCGACGCATCAGAATTTTGTTTTGCGCGAGCAGTTCATCTCGTTGCGAAACCGTGCGGCGTTTCGCAGGCAGGCATGTCGGAGAGTAGACAAGACGGCGAATCCGCGACTGTATCGAAATTGCGGCGAAACGGGTTTTCAATTACGATCACCTCGTCATGTGTGTGTGTGCGCGCGCGCGCGCGTGTGTGTACATATAATATAGCGGCGGTTTGCGAGCCGCGAGTGGATACCGCGGTACGATCGAGCATATCATTAAGCGACCAGCGATCGATTAGCATAAATCAGCGCGATATTAGCGTCTATGGAAATCCGTATGCTATCGTAATCTGACAGGGCATGCGAGCGGTCGACTTCGCTAGACATCACGACCGCTTCTCGTTTTTGCTACGGCGGCGCATCCGCCAGCCGCCTCTCTGCCGTCGGCGACACGACACAGGACGTCACGTCACGTTGCTCGTCGGGCAAGATCGAATCGCGGCATCGAGTGCTCGACTCCTCGTGCGACTGTGGGCTACACGCGCGACGATGAATCCTCGCGTGGTCGAGAAGAAAGGCGAGGATGGACGGGCGGGTCTGCTTTTCGCGCTATCCCGATGATGTTCCGCGATGTTTCACACAGAAAGAAAGAATATTCTTGATTTAAAAACGTCTTTAATTTCAACGTGGAAATCTTGGAATGAGATTATATTGCGTTAATCGAAGAAAACTTGCTTGATTAATAATAAAGTCATATTTTATATAGTTCAAAAAAATTGAAATAAATATAAATACAAATGGTGCGAAAGGCACTTTAATTGCAGCTCTCGTGCAATTGCCCGGCAATTCTCTACGTCGAAATGTGCGTTTCGGCGTTCACGGTGACGACGCGTTTGTCTCACCAAACGTCTCGGAGCTTTGAATTAAATTCCGGAACCGGAGCAGGAAGGAGATTCCGCGCGATCTCTCGGCCCTTGAAATTCGGCGTCAATGGGGAACGAGCAACGAAAAAAAAAAAAAAAACGCGAGCGAGAAGGGTATACACATCTCTCTCTCTCTCTCTCTGTCTCTCAAGGAAACGGCCGGAATAACGACAGCCGTTATTGCCCACCTTGCACACGAGTTCCGCGTCCCAAGGTAGAATGGAGACGAGGTCTATCACCTCGCAGGACGCGCCAAGTTTCTTCTGGACCAGGTCGGCCACCTCCAGCAGTACGTGCACCTGAGTGCCCCAGCCCACGAGTGTCACGGCGTCACCTATGCGACAAAAGAACCACAGATGCATTCATGTGTACGCGAGTATCAAGGATTAATCGCTCTGGACGTCTATATATATATATATATATATAAACTACCTATACGATAAAAGCGCGCGTTTCCTCTCGCGTATCCTGTTTCAGGACCGGTCACATCGGACGAGATCGCCGCTCCGCTCTGGCGATATAATGGAAGGACGCGATCACACTCTCGGTAAATTATATTTACCTCTCGCGCTCGAGAGTGCGAATAGTTACTTTCTACGACTTCAAACAACGCCTTCCGAGGCATTATTTTCGTTGGACGGCGCACGTTCCGCGGTGGATATAATGTAAAGGTAAAGAGCGAAGAACCGGTCGTTACGCTCTGAACATTTCTCCGAAGAATGACTCTACAACCGCAAATATTTATTCATAGTGCATAATCATTTCCACGTAGCCCAAAGATCCAAGAACTTCTAATAATACTAATTATAAATACGTCACATAAAAAACGAGAACTCGCAGGTGGAAACTCTCAATCAATGTCGTTAAAATCGGATTAATGAAATACTGTCAATTATCGCTATTATAATAGTTTTGAAGGCCAAGAAAAAGCAGCAATTTTTATTAAGTTATATAAAGCAAAAAACGTATAGAATATATACTTCTTCATACAAATTGCATGTATAAATTACGCATATAAATTACGTATTCAAAAAGTATCGTACACAAATTATCCATTCACGATATTGGTGCTGTCCAAACAATGTCAAATATTTAAGTATCCGATTATTTTCTCTTCCCAAATTTTCTCTTGTTTATCCTTTTCTTTCTCTGCATACATTATTGTACTTATTTTTCATTCTGTGTGTTATCCATTTGTTATCCTAGTTATTTGGATAATCCTACTAAAAAGGGACTTATATCCCGTTAAATAAATAAATAAATTTCTGAACTGACCGCTTCTTACAATCTCGGCCTTGCCGATTTCGATTTTGTAATGTCCCATAGGCACCTCGTCGACCGCTGTACGATAAAGAACTTTAGGCTCGAATATGATACAGGGATCCGGCTCGTCGATGCAGCTCAGCAGGAGACCCTTCGCGTGCGTCGCTCCACGAGGCACGACGATCTAAAAAAGAAAAAGAAAGATGAGCTCGTTCAAAAACGTGAATCGCATCCTCCGTGATCCCTCTCGCGATAATTGACAGCTCTTCGACAAGCTCAAAACAAGCGTGAAATCGATCGACTCCAGGTCGTCGATATTACGCCGTTCCTCTCGTAATCACGGTGTACAAACAACGGCGGTCGCACGCATTAGTGTGCGGGCAAAACTTTCTTCATGCATACGTAGATCGTATACCCCGTACAATATTCATGGAATTTGTTGAGGAAAGTTGTGAGCTCACGACTCTACGGTTGACGCGGGACATAGCGAGGGCTATACCCGAAGAATGTTCCTGACAATAAAAATTCGGCGGCGAAGCTCACCTCGCCAAACCATTCGATCAGGTAAACGCGTCGATTTTTGGAAATGAGATCCTACGTCCCAATCGTCACGTAGCCGTTACGCGTCACGAGCTCTCTCGTGGAGCGGTATAGACCTTGTTGTTCAGCATTGTAGCAATAGCCGTCAGATGTTTACAAATACTGAGGCGCGGCCTTTTACGACCTTATTACGAAATCGCTTATCTCGATAAGGAACTTGTCTTTTCGCTCGGCTATTAAGAGAGGTACCTAAGATTAGCCTTAAGACACACTCAAGAGGAGCCGAGCCGTTCTGCGTGTTACGTTCGATTGTTCGATAAATAAAATAAAAAAAAAAGTTGAGATGAAAATTTCTACTAACCTTCAAGCCGGGAGTGTGTGCGAAATAGGCTTCAGGGCTCTGAGAGTGATAAAGACCGCCGTGCCCGACGGCTCCGCAAGGCGCACGAATCGTAAGTTTGCCGCAGTCAAACATATTGCCGCTTCGATACCTCATCTTGGCCGCTTCGTTTACTAACTATAAGGGAAAGGTATACACACACAGAGTTTCGTTAATAGTCTGAGGTAATTAATATTTACCTATTTAATAATTTGCGTGACGAACGAAATACACATTCCGTGTTATTTAATCCGATCCGCTCGCGAAGTTTTCAAGCTATAGAAAAAGAAAGTTTTCACGCTCCCTACATTTTTAAGCAAATTTCTATTTTTATAGTTTTGTTTATACTTTTTCATTCTTTGAATAATTAAATCTTGTTAAATCTTTGAATCTCCTCTTACATTCTCGATATAAAATTATTATAAAATGATATTATTATAAAATAATAATTATCAATCGATCTATGTTATATTCATATGTACTGGTTGAATAATGTGGCACCTGATCGAAAGCGGGAAATATGTAGTCCGCAAATTGTATTTCGGCAATCGCCGATATTCCCGCGTTAGCTAAACCGATTCCGAAGCCGGCAATTCCTTGCTCGCAGAGAGGCGTGTTGAAGACACGATCGGCACCGAAACGTTTCTTCAAGTCCATCGTGCAACGAAAGACACCTCCGAATGCCACGTCCTCGCCGAACACCACTAAAATTAAAAAAAAAAAAAAAAAAGAACCGTTAGCAATACTTCTTATTTAAAAAAAATGCAAATATTGTTAAAGATTAAGTTAAAGTTTTAAAATTTTCAATGAGAAATTTAGGTTCTCGTGTAATTCTATTGATCTTTTAGATAGTTTAAATAATTTTCTCGAGAGTTTAATTAATATTCTGAATTTTTCGAAAGTATTGAAAAATTGACAATATATTATTAAATTAAACATAGAACAAAATGCTTTAATACATTTACTTAATATGTATATAGGTGCATATCCTAATTAAAGGAACACAAGTGTAACAAAATCCTTACCTGAACGTGGATCGTTTTCCAATGCGATACTAAGTCCATGATTTATGGCTTGATACATATTCAGCTTTTGTGTCTCACCTGAAAGCACGACTCTTTTACGTAATCACATGAATAATGTTTAAGCGTAAAGTAACTTTAAAATGAGTAAAACCTAATAGACTGGTGCAATAATTGAATTAAAAAACAATTTCTTGGGGATTTTGTAGGAAATTTGAAAATCTTTAGAAAAGGACACACAAATTCCATAAAATATAATGTGTAATAAAATCTATAATAAAAACCTGAATCACTTTTGTTATGACGTTATCTCGAACGTATTTCAAAACGATAATTCTCATTATAGCAAGCATGACAAAAAATCATTAATTATCGTTGCGTTATATCCGTCAGTTTAATTTATGTTAAAACCGAATTCATTCTTGACTTACTATTGACTTAATATATTCTTGCATATGAAAGAAAGACGATCACCTTCGACAGAGATACGAATATTTTAATCCGTATATCTGAATACTCGAATATGTTTAGAATTTAAATTTGTTTTGTTTTTTACTTTCATGGAAGGAAATATATAGGTAATCAATTTATTCGAAAAAGAGAGAGGGACGATGAGGAAGCAAACGGGGAAGAAGAGAGTCTCGATAAACTCTCGAGTTTCGATAGACCTAAATAATCTCTTTATTCTTACTTGCTGTAAATTCTTTTTATCACACTATTTTTTTATTATGCCAATTTAAATACATGTTAAATTACATTCTGAATTTTAAACTCATCACACTTGCTTACGTATAAGCGCATCTTTAAATCAACTAACTGATGAGTAAAACTGCTTTTATCAATCGCCACATCGCCTCGCATATGTACATACATACACTGACCGGCAGGAATCAGGCAGAATGCCTGGACATTTCGATATGTATAATAATTATAATATGACACGTATATGTATTAGAGTCGTATACATATATGTCCCGTATGTATAGTATATGTCCAGGCATTCTGCCGGTTAAGTATATGTACACGTGTGCTGCTGCTGTTGATTTCCTATACGTGAATTCATCAGGACTTGGCGCAGAAGATTCTTCTGGAAAATGATTAACATGTCCGAGTGGCATCCACTTACCGACGATCTCACGCGGCTTCTTACACGGGAAATACGTAAAGTGCGCCTCTCTGACATGGCACTGATGAGTGGCGGAATAAGCGGAAATCTCGCCACAGCTCAAAAGCAGCTTCTTTCCAGTATGCCGCAGTCTCGCGCTCAACTTGCCGAGCATCATTTCTCTCTCTTTCTCCCTCTCTCTATCTATCTATCTATCTAGTTCTCTCTCTCGTTTCGGCTCGTCCGAGCAGCAAACCATTCGCCAAGAGGTCGTCGCGAATGGTCTTACGTCTTATCTCTATTTTGCACACAATATCGATATTCCACGGAGGTTCTCTCGACCCCACGTGGGATTTCGAAAGAGCCTCCAGTCGAGGTCGAGCGAGAGTGCGCGCTCGCGCGCGCACACACGCCCGTGATCGGCGATCGGCGTGATCGAACGATCGGACGATCGACGCGTTGCTGATCGTAGACGCGCGAACGAAAACTGGTTTCTCACGATGTACATACAACATGGAGCCTCGGGAACGCGAGCGTGACTCGACCGAAAAGGGGATAAGAATTTTCCCGGAGTGGGAGAGCAGGGGAATCGCGATAAGTCGCTGACGACATTTAGTAATATGCTTTATCGCTCGGTGTGCGACATATATGGTGTGCGATAAGTTCGGAGTTGACTTTGATTTTCCGATTTAATCTCGGATCTCGAGCGACGCTTGACGTCAACTCGGCGGCGCGGTCAGAGGGAAGGCGAGCACTTTGAAATCATTTAAACGCGTTGTCATAAAACATTGGCCGTCTCAAAAGAATTTGTTTTTTTCGCATCGCGTTTCGTCGACCGCGCCGCGCCGATCCAATGGCAGATTCCAACGACTGGACGATTGACAAAAACGGTAAATAACTATTTACGTCGACATAAACGAATGAGAATAAATAAATGTCATATTTTTTTATTTGATTCTCGCGCAATTTTTGTGTTTTGTGCAGCTCGCGTGCAACGAAATCGGAATAATTTCTTTCTATGCGGCGCCTTCGTTCATTTTCCCGACCGATGGTTACGAAGAGCACTTCTAAAGGTATCGTGTTTCACCAGCAGGCGATCTACTTTAACGACTGTAGATTTAAATTAATGAACTGTCAAAAGTACCGACAGGAACCTATTACCTACGATCGATGAAACCCCGCGGCGTGAGACCAGACCGCAGTCTGCAGCCACGGTCGCGATCCTCGGCGGGATCGGCGGGAGATCATCAACTGGGTGCGCGCTAGGCGCGTGCACGTCGTCGGCCATTACAGATTCGTTCTCACAGACGCGTCGTTGTGACTTCGAGGTGCGTTTTTTTGACAAGTATCCCGTAACGCGTGGGAACTAAGGGCATCGTCGAGACCGATCGAACGAACATCCGGATCCCGTTGAACATGGACATGGACAGATCGAGCAACGGCGAGTACAAGTATCAGAGGGACGATGATGCCGACGATAAACCCAGGTCGTTGGACGAGTCTGAGGAGAAAGACGACCAGCAGGTCGACAAGGCCGGCGAGTACATGCACGAGCTCTTGCAGGAGAAGATCGACCTGGACGCCCAGAAATGGCCCAACGCAATCCGCTTGCTGGACCAAGGTGAGTTGACCCGAGATAACCCCCAAGTAAATATATGTACTTTTTCGCCGACAGATGATCTCGGATCTCGGAGACGAGTCTCCGTCGCGTTCGCGACGAGAAACCGCCGCGATGTCCGTGGACCGTGATTTTCAATGAAATTGGATTGAGTGCGCGCGATCCTGGGTCAGTAGAGTTTTATGATGCAACAAAATTCAGCTTGAAGGCAATATGGTCCGTTTGAATTTTATTGGGAGATAATTTTAGATCAATTATATCAATTCCTCAAAATTCTTCCGTCCTCGGTTAATTTTAGATATCTGGGTTGTTGAAGGGTCTGTTATCTTCTGTTTAGTTTGATTTCTGATATAGATAATTTACATCCAACACCAAGCGTAACTGTAGGGATCGCTTTGGATTTTATTCCAATCATTTTGATACGTATCATTGATGCAAGTATAAAGAAGGAAAAAAGAATAAATTAGTTGTTAACAAAACTGTTTTTAACAAAAGGAGGAATATTTCTTTAATTCTTTTGAAATTCCAGATACACATATATGCGCCATTAAATTTAAATTCAGGACTAAAGTTTAAAACAAAAAAAAAAAAAGGAAAAATAAAAAACTAAGAATTTTTTAATTTTTTTTGTGAACATTTTTTTTGCATATGTCTAATGGTTCGTATAAGTACTACAATAGTTATTTGTGTAACAAGTGCGGGAAGATGGAAATTCACGGGTGCGGAGTGGACGCACGAGCCGAAGGCAAGTGCGATCATCGCACCCGTGAATTTTCAACTTCACGCACGTGTTACACACCCTATTTTATATTACAAGTGCGTGGAAAGTGGTTTATCACGCGCGTGTCATGCGCGTAATGTGCCACTTTCCACGAACTTGTAATATAAAACGGTGTGTAACACGTGTGTTAAGTTGAAAATTGGACGTGCGGGTGATCCACTTCGCACGTCCAATTTCCATCTTACAGCACTTGTTACACAAATAACTATTAATGGTGCATATAAGTATCACCATTCACATTATCTCTTTGACTTTTTTTCAATATGTTTTAGCATAAGAGTAAATATTGATTTATAGAACTAAAAACAAAAAAGTTTCCTAGATTAATATTATCTTGAAAGGTTAAAGAATATAATAGAAATATTTCTCATAGATGCCCTGCGTGTATGTCTATTGAGATAAAAAATTAATGTAATAAATATGAAAATACATTAAATTAAGATTTAATATAATAAATTATAACTACTTTGTTACACTCGCGTGTTTTATAGAGATACAAAAAACGGAAACTATGCGAAGACCAATGAGAGAGTCGAAATATGTGGATATTTACCGTGAAAAGCATGTTCGTGTCTCTGTCAAAGTTTTGATACCTATCCGCGAACATCCTAAGGTAAGTATCGCTATCTACAGCAATCTGAATTACAAATAAATTTGAGATGAATTTGGGTTATGTTTTGCCTGTTGTAGTTTAATTTCGTTGGGAAATTGCTGGGCCCGAAAGGCAATTCCATGAAACGGCTGCAAGAAGAGACAATGTGTAAGATGGCAGTGTTAGGCAGAGGATCGATGAAAGATAAACAGAAAGTAGGTGACAAAGGAATAATCTTACTTTCTTTTTTACTCTTTATTCTGAAAAAAGAATTGACGCATATTTTCCGGGTGGATCTTTTAATCTCAGGAAGAAGAACTTCGTGCTTCCTTGAATTTGAAATATGCACATCTTTCCGACGATCTACATGTGGAGATTACGGCTATTGCCCCACCGGCGGAAGCTTACGCTCGCATTGCTTTTGCGCTCGCCGAAGTACGGAAATACTTGATTCCCGATAACAATGATAATATACGTCAAGAACAGATGCGCGAAATGGAGATGACCATGACTGACGATCCTGTCTCTAATGATCGGAGAGGACCTTCAATGAGAGGACCTTCGAATCTTGGCGTTGGTAATGTACCGAGACCCGCTGCAAGACAGGCATTACCTAGAGGAACGTCTAGAGGTTGGTTACATCTCTATTATAAAAATTATATGATATGTAAAAGTATGCAAAAGATTAAAAAATGTTGCGATCTATTTGATATTTGTTATTATAAACTTTTGTTGAATGTGGCGGATGTTTATTATATCGCGATAAATGTACTTAAATCTTTTGTGTATACACAAGATATTAAAATGTACATATTAAAAAAATATGTATATATTTGAGTTATGTATATATAAAAGATATATGTGAATTGCTTATTTTTTTTTAGCTATTCTTCCTCCACCACCTGTAAATCGTGGGCCACCTAATCGACCTGCACCGTCGAAATCGAAGGTGTTCTCAATATTGGATCGTGCAAGGGCTGCTATGGATCAAAGTTATAAGTGAGTCTACATTATACACATAATATAACAAAATCGCTTTATGAAAATTGAATATGTTGAGCATTCGAATTTTTTCGTTTTTGTAGCTATGATACCCAGACTCCTCCGCCAGCGAACCGGACTGGATCGCATCATGATTACGATTATCACGGATCATCAGGTAGTAACGCTCGATACGGCGATCGTTACCCATCGAATTCTGGGTATGTATTATAAATTATAATGTTAATTTATGATAATAAAAATAAAATAGGAAATAATATAAAGTGAAAAATAAGGTTCTCATATATATATATATATATATATATATATATATATATATATATATAT